TATATGCAGTGTATTATTTGTTGAAACTGTACTTTCGATTTGATTTGAAACTGTCTCATTGCTATATGTTTATCAATAAAACTTTGAAAAGAAAAAAAAAGAAACATTCTTTTTTGGTCATAATATTTAAGTGATAATCGTTAAGTAGATAGGCTAGAAGGCAATGAATATTTTTATGTCACTATGTATGTTTTCATATTTTGACTTGATTAAAGCATTGAGGAATTTGTCTGTTATACTGTTTACCTGCTTAAACATCTTTAAGTTTCAATAGGAATTTTTCCCAAATTCATAAATTTATTAATATATTGATATTACTGCCTCCATAGTCATGATTTGTGTTTCTTTATAACTGCATTTTGGTACTTGGATCATTCGTATTTCATTATGTTTTTCTTTAATAATTAATATTTATCTCTTCCCAACATTTTGACAAATCCTGATATGTTTCACATAGCAATTCTAATTTCATTTTTCTTTGGCCCAAGAGTGATTTTAGAGAGATTTTTAATTTCCAAATATGTAGAACAAGTCACTTAACGTTAGTCAAAATATAATTCTGACTGTCTAGGAGTATTCATCATAAGAATTTATGTCCAGAAATAACACATGAGAAAGATATTTCTGCAGCTTGGAAGCATGAAGTAAGCAATGCACGCTAACACGCTTCTACTCTATTCACATTTCTCAGTGTCAGATTTATATGATGAAACTAGATTCTGTTTCTGAAAAGAAAATGAGACTCCATTCATCCACTTGTTTAACATTTCACTCTACTAAGTGCCTTGGGAACTTTAAGAGATCCAGGATTCACATCTTGTACTTAAGACATTGTCATATCCCAAAGAAGTTAAGGCAAATAAATGAAATTAAGAAGATTTAGAGTGGAAGATAACAAAATCAGTAAGCAAAATAGAAGAAAAGTCCTTTGGAAATGCAGGGGAAAAATAGGGCCTATTTGGCCCAGAGCTATCACTTTCCTTTTTGTTCCAGGTCTGTGCAAGGCCCAAAAGACACACGAAGAGTGCAGTTCATTGACTACATGGATGAAATTGCTTCTGAGTTGGGTGTCAAACCCAACCTGCTGTCCTTGTTCTTCTGGGATGCAAAGCTGGCCAAGGAGATTTTCTATGGGCCCTGCACTCCATACCAGTACCGTCTACAGGGGCCTGGGAAATGGAGCGGGGCCCAGAATGCCATCCTTACTCAGAGGGACCGGATCCTCAAACCCCTGAGGACACGTGTGCTCACACCCTCTGGGTCTCCTTCTTCTAGGCTGTTCTGGGTCAAGTGTACCTGTGCTGTCATTTTTCTCTCTGTTCCCATGTTATTCATCATCCAAATGATGCATCATTAAACTGTAATAGAACTATCTCCCATTGATAGAGGAGGTGGGGAATGCAAAGCTGTATAAATGCACAGAACCCATCAACTGTAATATCCCAGGGTGGCACTAGGTAATTCTCAGGCCTCCCAAGTACAGAAGGAACTTCTTATGGGCTCTCACAAGGTGCGAGCAGCATAAAAGAGACCAGACACCATGAGGAGCCTGCTCTACTGACCCCTCACCCTGGCAAATCTGGATCTCATCTCCACGATGCAGAGCACATATTTGTTTTTGCTTTTTATCCTTTTCTCTTTCATTTGGACTAAGTTCGCACCACAGAGCTAGTTCTTCCCTTACCCTTTTACTCTTCAGCTTTCAAATAAACTTTTGGGAGTATTTTTGTCTTGTCTCATCCAATTCTTTGTTCAAGGCAAGAGGGACTTGGAGTACTTTAATTTTCCAGACATTGCTAAGGGAGAAATGTCTACTGGACAACATCATGATATTCTGAGTTCAAGTGTAACAGTTCCTCGTTCATTGTAATCTGGTTCCAATCTTTCACTAAACTTTATTAGCATGGTATAAGATAGTAGACATAATGTTATTTTCAATAATCACTGCTGAGTATTAGTTTTAGCTACAGAAATTTGAATAAATATCAACAGGACAGTCTCAGAAAGTGCCCAAAGTAGAGAAACTTTCAAGGTAGTCCTTGGAAGTATGAGTTCTTACACGGTAGCATCCAGCACCGTGACATGTGCTGTTTTGTAGAATTCAGGGGTTCATAGACAAGAACAACCACCTCTAAACACAGTCATCTCACCTCCAATGCTTTGAGTCCAACTGGCTTTGTTCTGTGAGCCATGATCACTGTTAGTATGTTATTTTTAGTATGTTGATCTTGCTTCAAACTCTGTGACTGATTGAGACCTCAATGCTTTAATCCATTTAATTTGCCCAAGAGTTTTACTCTGCAGAAATAATTTTCTCAAGGTTTCTAAAGAACATTCTTCTTTAAATTTTCTGCTGAATGTTTTAAGGTAAAATGTGAAATATCTGCATGGAAATGAGTTTGCATTATGAGACATTATCATTTATAAGTCAATTAAAAGTTTAGAAACATATATCAAAAATAAGTTTACATATTGTTTAGAATAATTAACCTTTGTTATTTTTTCCTACCAAGAGCCATCTAACTAGATCACTTATCATCTTAGTTCCCTTAAAGCTCAAAACTTTTTAAAAATTGACTAAAACATTAAAGTTTAGAGAAGTAGACAAGCTATGAGGAATAGGGAGAGTGAAGTTTTCTAGCTTTTCTTGATAAAAATCTCAAGTATTACATTCTGGAAAAATTCACCACTTCACACTGTTGCTCTACCTTAATATTTAACTTAGACATCTAAGACACAGTGGTTGAAAAGTGTACAGGTTCTATTTTTGCCTTGTAATAGCAAATAAACTGAAGGAAAAAAATTGCTAAATAAACATCACTAGTTCATGGTGAGTTGATTAGTTTCATGATAATACCCATAGGCTTTTTCTCAAATGTAGATGTAGCTGTGACAGTGTCACAGGAAGACCTCCATTGTGCTGTTGTCTTGATCTTTTGGAAGGCCCCTGGAAACAGAGCCACCTACTTTTCACTTTGGTAGTATGGACTGTGACAATGAACAAGGCCTGTGATTCTTCATCAAGTAGACTGAAGTCTTGTTACATTTGTGAAGAGTCTCATTTTCTTTCTTTTCCCATAGAGATACTCAGGTGTGACACAAATTATGCATAAATTTCAAACTTACACAGAACATCAATATAATATTCTAAACCATCAAAAAAGATTTAAATATGTATTAAAGTTACTTGAAGATACGTTGGAAGCTTCCAGTTGAAAATGTTGGATAATCCACATCTATCTCAGCAACTTTTTTTTGGCCAAACCGGGGATTGAACTCAGGCCCCTGGCCCCTCTCAGCAACTTTTGAGCACAAAGAGTGTTCCACTTCACAGGACCTATAAGACATTCCCAAAATAACTGCACCACTGAAGCCTCAGATCATGGAATTCCTGTCAATGTACAAAGAACTAATTTCCAGAACCGGAAAATAAACTACCACCCAAAAGAAAAGACTTTGCAGATGGAATTAAAATAAGCATCTTGAGATGAGGTTATTTGTTGGTTTTCACAGCTGGGCCACATGAAATCCCAAAGGTCCTTGTAAAGAAGGAGGGTGGCAGGAGAGACAGAGGAGAAGTGATGAAGCAGATGTTGAGGGTCATCATTGCAGGGTTTCAAGAAGGAGAGAACCATGAGTCAAGCCACACAGGCAGCCTGTGGAAACTGGAAAAACAAGAGGTAAATTCTTTCCTCAGATGCTCCAGGAAGAAAGCTGCTGTGCTGCTTTGCTGACAACTTGCTTTAAGTTCTGGGAGACATCGGACTTCCAAGAATACAAGATAATATATTAATATTGTGTAAATTGTTCAAGAAGAAGGCGGTGGTGAAGGAAAGCAAGAGACAGGAAAAGGAATATTGTGGGACTGTCCTGCTTCAAGGTTGTATATGGTGAGAT